AAAATCCAAGTTTTTAGAGTAAACCCTCTATTGAGCAGATTGAGGTGTGCTACAACCCAGTCACACAGATCACTGGGAGGGAAAATCTATCTCCCTGCACACGTAGTCTAATTTCATAATTTTCACAAATATTGAATTAAATTATTATTGTTATAATTGGGATATAATTGGCGTATTCCAAACTTTAACAGTAACTGTGTCTTTGGTTTTCGGCTAATAGTCGTTACGTTGTCGGAAAAACGAGAACCTCCCGAACTTAGCGAAAAACGAGAACCTCCCGAACTTAGCATCCAGGCCGGAAAAGGTAAAATAACATCAGAAGGCTGAGATGCAAGAGACGTGACAATATGAATGTAAAAATATCCCATTTTATTGAGGTCTGAGTGGAACAAGAATGGCGAAAGCACTCCCAGTAGATGCGGAGATACTTTAAGTATGGCAGTAACTCACTTAAAACCGTAAGAGGATTTACAAATAGCAAATTATGAGTAGCACTGTCGAAGATTGGCTTCGGTCGTTGGGACTTATTCAATACACACAGGCCTTTCTCGATAATGGCTACGATGAATTGGACATTTGTAAAGAAATGGGCGAAGAGGATTTGGATGCGATTGGTGTTAGGAATACTAGAGATCGTGTGGATATTCTAAGTGCCGTGAATCGTTTAAAACAGAGCGGTACAGCAGTCTACTTCGTGCTCGAAGATAGCACACAACAACCTACACCCAATAGTAATGCCCAGGCCCGGGAAAAGATCCTTCCCCTAAAACTTAAAATGTTTCTTCATGACACGCTTGAAGAGGACAATATTAAGCTTAGTGACTACCCATATACTCTTTCGGTAAGTACTGAACATAGTTTTTTTTACTATGGAGGTTTTTGAAATCTGTATAAGCTTATTTTAGCTGAGTAGACAGCTTTCCTTCTATTGGTGAGCTTCAGTTCCATCGAATGTCGAGCATTAAAAACTCTGTCCTACTTAGTCTTTCGTTTTAATCTTTATCTTAAGACCTAACGCTAAATATACTTGGCCTTTTGGATTGGAGAAGTTGTAGCGCGTTATTAATCGTGGCGGTACAGGTCAAATTTTTCGACTTCATTGAAATTGATGAGTGATCGATTGTTCGAAGGCCGATGGGGCGACGCTCTACATAGCTGAATTTCACATCGCTAATCTTACATAATGCTGCCAAAGTTATTGAAATGACATGTAGATCAACTTGGYATGCAGTTATATGTAGATGAAACGGAGCTTAGCTGTATAGTTTCCTGGTTTATAAACCATCGCCGTTTCTTATCTCCGCAGCAAACGAGCACATTTCCAACAAATAAGGTCTCCGATCAGCTGTCATRCTCCATTGTTTAGCAGTACTCGTACGTCTTGAGTTGTTTTGACTCGACAACTCATTGATTATTGCCCMATTCAGAAAAGAAATATGTTTTGATTTTGTTGTTTTGGGAAATTAGCGTAATCTCTTATATGTGGTAAACATTGCTTCACGCCTTTTTGGTGTCTAGATGGCAAACCAAAAATCCAGTTGTGGTTCTAATGCTTGTACCGATGCATACCTTGTAAAATTACTTTGAATTCYGTGTTAAATCTGTAATGGTTTTCTCGTTTAAAGATACATTGAACAATGCTTAAAATTGTTTGATGTGAATTGTACAATATGTACTATTTTTCCATTTTGTTATTTTGCTTTTGTACAAGTTCAATGGACCCAATTGTCCTTGTGGTTATGCAGATTTTGAGCTGAATATTGAACACGAATTTCTCAAACATGTGTTATAAGTATGAACTGCCATAATCCAAATTTAAGAACTTATTATTAGTAGTAAAAATGTGAATGTGAATTGGAAGTTTGCTTACTATATTTTTATATTCTCTTTTCTGGGAGTTGTACTAGACTCTTATCACATGTAATCTACCTTTGTTTATTCTTGGGTTCGTATACTTTAATTTGTGATTGGTCAGTTGTGTTATTATTAAGTTTATGAAACCACATGTTTGCGCTGAAGTTTGCCAGTTTCAGCACGGTAGACCAGAACATCTCAATGCTGAATATTTTTTGACCACAGGAAATGGGCATAATTACACGAAATGTGCCTGTTTCTATTCACAGAAATRTAAACAACCACCTTTTTTTGAATTAGGAAAGGTAGTGCTATCTTACTTTTTGAAGAGGATTTCAGTAAAAAAGTGTTTTATAAGTTAATACTTATCAAATTTGCCTTTTTTATGTTTTTTTGGTTTACTCGTTCTTCATGGAATTTCAAAGTGTAATATTTGTTCAATATAAGAAACATTTTGCTCAGCTATTTCAATAATATTTGAGTATGTTAATTGATTAGTTCTATAATCTGTTGTTTTAGCACDGCAGCTTTCGGTTATGACTCTGAATTATTGCATAATGTCTCCTGTCTCAATAATGAGGCTTCAATAAACCCAAGATATGATGAGGAAGGAAGTCAATCAATTAAATTTCCTTTCTCATGAAAACATTATGATATACTAAAATAAGACCATTTATCAGTTAACACTTTCCTAAACCTTGCTAGAATGAAAGCTAAATGCAATATTAATGTCCAATATAACCTAATGCAAGCTAATCTTTGATGGCTAGAGGCAAATGCCACATGGTTTGATGCTATTGTTTYTTCAGGGTTTCATATCATTTCTTTTCTGTTCTATTGTTTATCACATTTTTTTAAACGGAAGTACATGTTGATACGCTTGAAGGCCTTATGGCATGCTATGCTTAGAATGATACTTTGGTGAAACATATGGTGGAAAAGCCACGGTTCATAAACATTAGTTKTTTCATTGAACTTGGGGTACAAGAAACAAAGACTTCATCAAATTTGCTTTGTTAGAATAGTGCAGCATTCATTGATATATTAATTATATTAATTATATTAAAGAATGTACAAGAACAATGTCATGTAGTACCAAAAAAGAAAGTTTTAGATAAAGGTGTTTATAATGTGCTGTGTTAATTATAAGTCACCACTGGTCATGAATATTATTTTCTTACCTGTAGGTCAATATGCAAATAATAAAAAAGTCAGGATTTTTTGTTTGTTTGTTTATTTAT